GTAAGAGGCAGATAATCATCGGTGAAGTCAGCACAGTGAGAGCTCATCAAGAACCTACATAATAATGGAGGTAGTGGGTATCGAACCTGGTCAAAGACTATCTCCTACATGTCAGGTCCTAGACTCCACAGCTTAGAGTCTTCCTTGAGGGGTTCGGGATTCGAAAACATCCAATGCCGCTGATGCTGGACCACGATGAGGAGTGCTCAGGGCTTTGTACAGTGCCACCTCATCTACACATACTCCCCTACCGATTGATATGAATACTGATGTTGGACGCATTAATGCAAATTCCTAAAATGCCACATGCCGGGATTGAACCCGAGTCGTGAATCACTTACGTGAGAACCACAAAAGTGTCGAGTACTCGGCGTACCAGGGAGGGAGCATATGACAAAGTCCGATTCACGGAACAACTAATAAGGTAACATCACCCATCATTAGTCTGCTGATTACCTTGTTCTTCTGTTCAAGTACTCCACTATTGAGTACCTCATCTGCTAAATCACTACCAGGGCCATCATCTATACGACTACGTAATGCAAGTATCCTCATCCCTGGAGATAGGTCATGATGATGTGTCCATTATTACAGAGGACTTACCAAGGGGTCTGCACACTTTAGCAGTCTCTTGTGCTATACTGCCGAAACCAACGAATCCAACAGTCTTCCCTCTTAAAACGGGCATTCTGAATTTACGCCATACCTTATCTTTCTGAAGTCTTTGTAGCATAGGAACTTTCTTATTGAAATGCAACATACACATAAGAGAGTATCTACCATCATCATCATCATTAGTTTACTGCTATCCCCGCCTTACTCAGCCAAGCTCTTAGAGAAAGCACCTCGGGCGTTGGTAAGAGTTATCTTATCTGCAAGATTATCGGACACGAGAACAGGGACGAGGCTGTCGACACCAGCTGAGAGGGAGTGAACCCAGGACAGCTTATCCATACCATAATGTTGGAAGAGACTCTGAGATAGCAGGAATTGAACTCACGACCATACGATTGAGAGAGAAGCCCAAATACCACTTGACTATTCCTCCCGACTTACAGCCACGACACGAGGATCTCCCGCTGCCCATAGGACCATACACCTGTTGTGAGCAGGTAACTGAGGCATCTGCCTCGTGAAGTCCTCCAACCTATGTCCGTATCTGTTAATAAGACATTGAAGAAAGGCATCATTAAAGCAGCTACATTAAGGTAGCTTTTTGTGGTAGTAGTTTGTCTAGAGTAGGGGAGATCTCCTCTCCATACTTATCAACTTCTGACTCTACGACCAATACTACCACATTATCATCAGAGGACATCTTTTAGTGATGAAGGAATAGATGAAGAATACACTGAGATGATCATAGTATTAGAATAACCCAACACTGTTTAATGATGATGAGGTAGAGTAC